GGTAGCGGAGGACCTGTCCCCTCCTCACTGAGTTCCAGTGAAGAGTCCTGGAGCCCTCTCTCCGTTTCCCCCATCTGCCCACCTTTATCCCTGGTGTTGCGCTTAAATGCTTCCCCCTCAACTGAGCTGTATCTCCCCCTGCTGCTGGGTCCTTCTCCAGCATCATCTAGGAGCCTCCCCTTCGCCTCTCGCTCCGATGTCAGTTCCCTGACATTCATGGTTTTAATTGATTCTTTTTCCAGGTACATTCATGTGTTTATGCTCCAGCAGAAGTCAGAAGCATTTCCGAGGTTCAAGGCATTCTGTGCTTGGTTGGAGAATGCTCACAGTAAATGCATCGGCTGTTTGTTTACTGATCGAGGCGGTGAATTCACTTCTCAGCAGTTTGGAGCTTTCCTGACTGAGAAGGGAATCCAGCATAGTCTCTCAACGCCTAGATCTCCATGGATGAATGGACTTTGTGAGCAAGCAAGCCAAACTTTGCTGCAAGGCCTAAAAACCTTGTTGCATGATGCCAATCTCCCTGAGAAGTTTTGGGGGGAGTCTCTGTCCACGTTCGTTTATTCCTGTAACAAGAGACTCTCATCACCTATTGGTTGTACTCCCTATGAGAAGATGTTTGGTAAGAAACCTTACGTCAAGCACATGAGAATCTTTGGTTGTGACATGTGGGTCCACACCCCACAGAGCAGCAAGCTTGGGAAGCGTGGGGCACATGGTTTGTTCATGGGGTACGAAAAAGGTGCATACAGGGTATTCATGACTGACTCAAAGTCCATTAGGTTCACAAAGAGTGTTGAGTACAATCCTAAGTGGGGGGGAAATGTGGGAATTTTCCAGTCACTCAGAGGAAGATGAAAATGTTGTAAAAAAAGCAGATGATGTTGAGGTAGAAGAGGAAGTTGAGGATGATGATCATGATGATCAGAGTTCGGATTCCAGCTCAGTGGGCAGCGCTGCTGCTGATGTCAGCGACAGTGATGACACAGCAGACTACAAGAGCACAAAGGCCTCAGTCAGACCATCTGATGCATCTGACACTGAACTGGAAGAACCACTGTTCACCATTGGCCACTTTTCTCCTAAGAAGGAGGAGATGAGTGCAGAAGACTTGCGTCTAGTACGCAGATCTGAAAGGGCCACAAAAGGCAAACCTCCAAAGATATTTGCTGATGAGTTTGCTAAGACAGCAACTGCTGCTCTTAGTAGCTCAGAAAAGGTGTGGGAACCTTCAAGCTTCAAAGAGGTTCAGGAGTTAACCTCTAAAGATGCTGAGCCATGGCTTAATGCTATGAAGGCTGAAGTTGATTCCTTGGATAGGAACCAAACTTGGGAGCTGGTACCAGTAGTCCCAGGAATAAGACTGGTTGGCAGCAAATGGGTCTTCAAGGCCAAGACAGACCAGACTGGCAAGGTTGTCAGGCACAAAGCCAGATTGGTTGCCAGAGGTTTTTCACAGGTACCAGGACAGGATTACCACGAGACCTACTCACCCACCGTCAAGTATGAGAGCATTAGGCTAATGCTCAAGATTGCTGCAGAGGAGAAACTGCACGTTTCTCATCACGACGTGAACACAGCTTTTTTGTACGGGGTTTTGGGGGAGGAGCTGTATATGCTTCCACATGATGGAATGCAGATACAGAAGGGAATGGTCTGTAAACTAAAGAAATCCTTATATGGTCTCAAGCAGAGTGCCAGGTGTTGGAACACAAAACTCACTGAGACATTGCATTCTCTTGGTTTTCCCCAAGGCAAAGCTGATCCATGTGTGTTTGTCAAAGGGGGAGGGGCAAAACAAACTGTATTGTTTATGTTTTGTTGATGATCTTCTGATGTTTTGGAAGAATCAGGCTTTGTACCAAAGCACCCTAGCTCAGCTGAAGGAGCACTTTGACATGAAGGATCTTGGTGAGGTATCCAACTATCTTTCTCTGCAGGTGGAGAGGGACCAAGCAGGTAATTTTCTGGTACACCAAACACAAAAAATTGCTGATGTATTAACCAAGTTGAATTTGGTTGATGCAAACCCAGCAGACACACCGATGGTGACAGGTTACCAGGTAGATAGTACTGCTGAAGCGTTTTCTGACACTACACTGTACAGATGCATTCTAGGCAAATTGAATTTCATTGCTAGATGTTCAAGACCTGACGTATCTGTAAGCACTAACCTGCTTAGCAGACATGCCAACAATCCTACTGTTCAGGATTGGAAAGCTCTGAAGCGCATAGCCCGCTATTTGAAAGGGACTTTGCACTACAGGCTGAGGTTCACCAGTCAGAAGACTGGAGGTCTTGAAATCTTTGCAGATGCGGAAGGGGCCACTAGGGGCACATCGGAAGATGGCTGACAATAACATCTCTCCAACCCACACGAGGTAATTAAGAGGCTGTGATGGGAGTAAACAGCCTCCCTGCCCCCCCAAGCCTGTGGGGGGGACTGCCCTTGCCTGCTGTGCCCTATACCACCCCTGAATTTGTGGGGGTGGGGGCACTAGGCAGAAAGCCCTCCTGTGGATCTCGGCGCTCCTGGACGCTGTCTCTGGTCCGCGCCCCTAGCTGCAGTAACTTCAAAAGAAACAATTAGGAGGAAGAGAATGCACATATTTCAAGGAAGAAGGGGGAGTAAAGACTGCTAACTGAAGAGATCTCTGATAAACAAGACGGGTCGGAGGAAAAAGAATAAATCATGACAAGACACACCAAGGCTCGGTATGTTTGGCAAGGACTGGATGGGGGAGGGGAAAAAACTTTCCTTTCTTTTCTCTATGTGATTAACCAAGAAGCCCCCCCCCCCCACAAGTCACAAGTCAGAAATGCCGTTTAAATGACTTAAGCTGTGGATTTAAGACTGTGTGGAGATAATTTTCTAACCAAAGCTTGTTTTAAGAAGATCGTGGAAAGTATAAGAGCTTTGGAATGACGCAGTAAAAGATACCGTCGCCATTTTGGCAAGTTCTGTCGGAAGACTTAAGCCTGGGAGGAGGAACAGAGTTGTTTTTATATTGTGGGTGAGCCTCCTCAGGGGGGCTTAAGAGCAACAGATTTGCGAGATTAATGATGGAAAGAGTGATGTTATTTATGAAAGCGATGATATATGGAAACCATCTTGATATGAGGATTGGACGAACGGAAAATTCACACAGGAATATAATTGGTGCTTACCTGCTTAAGGAGATTATCAGAAGAGATCATAAAGGAAAAAAAGAAAAATATACGAACAAGATGAGATGTGGAAACAGCAAGATAAGACTGGATAGAATTATGAACATTATTTGGACAGATTTGTGGATATTAACACAGTAGTAAGAAGATGATCGGAATCTCCCCTCGGTACTTGTAATATGGGTCCCCTCAACAAAATTTAAAATTCGGCTTTGTAATTCGGAATTTATGTGATGTGATTTGATTTGATTTGATTGGTCGGTTAATAAAAATTATTATTATTATTTTTTTAAAAGAAATCTTTGCAGATGCTAGTTTTGGAAGTGACACCACGGATGGTACAAGCACTTCTGGAGTATGCTACATGTACAACCACTGTCTGTTTGACTGGTTGTGCAAAAAGCAGACGACAGTAAGCCTAAGTACCTGTGAAGCAGAACTCAATGCTCTGTCATTTTCACTCATGGATTGTGAATGGTTGATGCAACTGTTTCAGGACATCAGAGTTTCTGTGAAATGTCCTATACAAGTGTATCAAGACAATAGATCCTGTTTGGCTTTGCTAAACTCAGAGAGTTGCAAGCAAAGAACCAAGTACTTGCAGATTAAGCTACATCGTGCAAGAGAGTGTATTGAGAAAGGACTCATTCAGGTGTCCTACATGCCAGGAAATGAAATTCCTGCTGATCTGTTGTCTAAGGTTGTTAACAGAGAACAACTTAAGGCTTATGTACAGAGGTTGCAATTGGGTTGAACCACAGGTACTACAGGTTACACGGAAAGGGGGAGGATGTTAGGATATTTCCGTTCCACCTTAAAAAGGGAGCAGGCTGTTGTGTGTCACAAGCCTGCATACTTCCTGCTCACAGGGAGTTTCCGATTTGTATATAGCTTTTGTTCTGGCTGCTTCCTTGACATTGAAGCAAGCAGTCATGTTTTTCCTTTGTTCTAACCAACGTTGAATAAAGCTGTAAATACACTCTCCTGGGTGAATCTTCCGTTGTGGAAACTCTGCGAAAAGGGCGTGCACGAGTCCTGGAATGTGTCTGAGGCTCGTGTCGCTAATTGACTGATGTTGTTCCGATGGGAGTCTGGAAATCGTCCAGAGACGACGATGGAGGCCTGCCTGATGAGGCTGCCTGATGCCTCTGTGTGCTGGTCCCAGGGGGAGGTTACCATGAGGCGTGGTCAGCGTTCGCTCCTGGGTCAAGGGTCTGGAGACTGTCCACCAAGGGACTGGGCTGACTGGCCTTTATTTCCTCTGAGGCCAGGGGCGGTCCCGGCCCACAGGTGACCCGCCTCTCCTGGCCTTAAGGCGAGCACTCCTCCTCAGAGAACTTAGTTCCCTCTGCCTCTCTGCCCTGAGCCTCTGCAGCTCAGGAGAGGCTGGAGGGTTATTGGACCCAGGAGCAGCTTCACCTTCCCCTGACAGGGCTGGGAGAGGCGCACCTGCAGGCAATGTGCCCTCAATCACCTCCGGAGCCAGAGTGGATGCATCTGGTGTCTGCTCCTGAGGATCCGGCACAGGTGCAGGCCCTTCAGATTCAAGCCCCTGCCCCAGCTCAGCCAGCCCTGGGGGCGGGGACTCCTGTGCAGGCTGGGACTCCTCAGGTTCAGCTTCTGAATCAGACTCCCAGGCCATCACACTCTGACTCCCTGGCAGTATCCCAACAGACAGGGGGTTGGATTAGATGGCCCTTGCGATCTCTTCCAGCTCTATTATTTTATGATTCTATGACACTAGCTAGTACACTGCACTGTTCCATTAGATAGATATTGTTGCTATTTTTTAAGCTAAAGGTTATGTATAGCTGCCATCTATTAGTCTTTGAGCAAGTGTGGTGTAGTGGTTAAGAGCGGCGGACTCGTAATCTGGTGAGCTGGGTTCGCTTCCCCGCTCCTCCACATGCAGCTCCTCACAGGGTGTCTGTTGGGGGGGGGGGGAGGGAAAGGAGATTGTTAGGTGTTTTGAGACTCCTTAAGGGGAGTGAAAGGCGGAATATCAAGTCCAAACTCTTCTTCCAAACTCTTTGTAATAGTGACATTTCCCGTAAATATGCTGAGACACAACCGAATAATGTTATAGATTTCAATGGGATTCATGGAAGGGCCAAGTTTATTCTGCAGTTTAAATGAATGGGGCATGGAAGTGCTTAACTGGTTCTTGAGCAGGGCCAAAACCTGGGGGAAGGAATCTTCAGTCTCTGTAGCAAACAGCAGGCACAACAACATTTTGCATGGAATGCAGAGCCAGTTCTTCTCATAAGCAACCAAGGGGAGCCCCTGAGGTGCTGGATGCACCACTAGAACTGGCGGCATGGTGTGAGTACCAAGTAGAGGTCAGGAGAAGGACGTGTTTCTTTTGGAGTCCCCACTGGGGAGAAAGAGGACTATAAATGAAGTGAGGGCCCCACAGACCTACACAGCAGCCAGTGTGGGCTGAGGTAAGCCCACTGAGGTGCTGGCACAATTCTACTGGACTTTTGCACCCTCCCTGCATGTATAGCTAAGAAAAACCTTTGTCTCATGTCCCCACACATTTTTTTATTGCTAGCACACCAACATCTTCACAGGTAGATGCATGGGAAGGGGGCAGATTCGATTAGCCCTCCCCCAAAGGATCATCTTTTCTTTAGTTAACTCCACTCTGATGCTACAGTGGCTGTCTCATGTCAATGTTTGTGTCCATTTTAGCCACCCAACTGTGGGTGGTTTTTGGGGAACACCTGCATCATCTTGTGATCTAAGCATGATGAAGCTGTCTTTTTCCAGGCCTTGATATGATGTTTTGGGGAAGAGTGCAGTACAAGTGAAGTATCTGTTGGTATCTTAGTGCAATAATAGCAGCCTGAAGAGTTTGGACTTGATACACCGCCTTTCACTCCCTTTAAGGAGTCTCAAAGCATCTCACAATCTCCTTTCCCTTCCTCCCCCACAACCGACACTCTGATGGCCTGGCAATCGGATTCAGAGGCTGAACCTGAGGATTCCCAGCCTGCACAGGAGTCCCTGCCTCCAGGGCTGGCTGAGCCGGGGCTGGGGCTTGAACCTGAAGGGCCCTCACCTGTGCCGGATCCTCAGGAGCAGACACCAGCTGAATCCGCTCTGCCTCCAGAGGTGATCGAGGACCCATTGCCTGCTGGTGCGCCTCTCTCAGCCCTGTCATGGGTGTTAGTTTATTCAGCTCTGGCCCTTGAGCTGATGCGGCTCATCTTGATCCTGAGCCCAGCAGAGTATGATCCCATAGTCCACAAACGAAAGGATGAGGCAGGTATGGCTACATTGCTATACTTTATTTCTAAGCTATACCGAGAACACACAAATGTACATCTTGCCTCTGTGAGAGCAGAGAGCAACTCCCAACAAAGAAACGACAGAACAAAGAAACAGGAAACCAGTGAACATCACATCCAGTCTCCCTTTCCCGTGAGAATCCAACAGTATCTGCACTCTGTGGAATGTAAACACAGTCTTGTGACTGCAGGCAGCTGCTCAGTGAGGAAACAGAAACTAACAAGGGGAAGGTGAGGTTGCCTCTGGGTCCAGTAACCCTCCAGAGCTGCAGAGGCTCAGGGTAGAGAGGCGGAGGGAACTAAGTTCTCACAGGAGGAGTGCTCGCCTTAAGGCCAGGAGAAGCGAGTCACCTGTGGGCCGGGACCTCCCTAGGCCTCAGAGGAGATAAAGGCCAGACAGCCCAGTCCCAGGTTGCGGAAGCAACATCGTTGGAAGCCTGTTCCTGCCAGCACCCAGACCTGCTCTCCCAGAGTTCCTGACCATGCCCAGCCCCTTGCCTTGGACCCCGCTTCGCCCTCGAAGGACTGACTCCAGATCCTTGACCCAGGACCAGACTCAGACCACGCCGCATGGTAACACCCCCCCCCGGGACCAGCACAGACACCCTGTGAGGTGGGTGGGGCTGAGAGACTTCAGAGAGAACTGTGACTAGCCCAAGGTCACCCAGCAGCTGCATGAGGAGGAGCGGGGAAGCAAACCCAGCTCACCAGATTATGCGTCCACCACCCATAACCACCACACCACACCTGAAGTGCCTTTCCCAGTTGTCAATAATGCCCTGTTGTTATCATTTTTAAAATATTAGTATTATTATGGCACCTAAAGCCTGAAATATCTTCCTAAAAGATAAGACAAATGTTTAGGAAAAGTTGTTATGAAAGAAGGAATGAAGAATGTAAGTTCTCTGCATTATGCTTTCAGGTCTCCATATGATGAGCATGTGGACAGACAGAGAAGGCTGCATGAGGTTGATAGTTAATTGCAGGATGACCTCTGCAAAAGAAAGTTGTGCATATTTGATCTTTGTGACTGTTAAGTAAATGTTTAAATTATAGTTTTTTAATATCCAACCCAAGCTCTGACTTTCTCAGTTCTCCCTTCACCTGTGTGTATCCTGCTAGTTCTATCCATTTCGCCTTTCTCTTGACACAAATGTATATAAAATCATACAGAAAAATGTTAAATGATCAGCTTTAATGCAGTGTCTCTGTCTCTAACTTTCTGTGCAATTGCTCAATAATGTCACTAAGAAAGCTCTATATTTTGGAGTGGTCTCTTTTATTGGAACAATTTCCCAAAGTAAATTCTAAAGGGGTGCATAATGACCAGTGGGCCAGAATTTTTGTCCCAATAATATTTTTATTTTTTTCCTGTGGCCATCACTAAATCTTCATGCAGTTAACTCCACAGTTTAATCTCTCAAGGAGTAAAGTGGCACTTCCTTTTACTGGGTGCCCCTGAGGTCAGTATTATGGGAGAGGGACGAAAAGTTCTCTCTATCCACTTTATCTTCTTAAATTTTTAAACCTCTATCATGTCTGCTCCCCACTTAGTCACCTTTTATAGACGGAACATTTCCAAACACTTCAGCCTTTTCTCAAAGGAAAAGCACTGTTACCCCTTAATCGTTTGGTTGCCCAATCTATCACCCTGTTGATCACCAGGGTTGATTTGGCTGATCAGACTGGCAAGAAATGTGTCTGCCATCTCCATCAGTGTGCATCCCTCCCTATGCCACACACTCCATGGAAGAGAACGACCATCCCACACAGAGCGAGAACACCCTCTTCTGCACTTTTCCCAGCTATGCCAAAATTGTACACGGTATTTCAAATGGGACCACACTTTAGAACTGTACAGGGACATTACAATACTGACCATTTCATTTTCAGTTCCTTTTTCAATAGTCTCCAGCATGGAATTTGGTTTGCCAACATAGCCACTATACTGCTCAGCACTAATTCCAGATCATACATGAATAAATGAAATAATAGCGGTTCTGATCCTTGTGGGACCCAACTGCTCACTTTCTTCCACTGGGAGAACTGTTCCATTTGTTCCAACTTCCTGTCGCTTGACCAATTTGTAATCCCCCATTGGGCCCAATCTTTGGTCCCATGGCTGGTAAGATTACTCTCAGTAGTCTGGTGAGGTTTCTAATAAAAAACCCCTTTGGAAGTCCAAGCATATCATGTCTAATAGCTCACCCTCATGCAGGTGTTTGTAACCCTTCTCAAGGAACTCCAAAATGTTGGCGAGCAGGACTTCCTTTTGCAGGGAAGCTATGGAATGCACATGATATTTCAAACAGTGGCTCATTACGCACTCATCCTTGCGGTGCATGAGTGCGCGTCCTCTGCACCCTCCCAGTTCAAACAATCAAAAAGGGACAAGAGCAAGTGCAAGGATTGTTGGTGGAAGGTGATCTCTTCCGATTAAGTATATCTCGTGGCCTGTGGGAATGGGAATTATCGGATGTTTCTGAGGCATATGACATCACATTAAAAATCAGGTGCAACCACCACTTAATCCTGTTATAAGGCAATTGAGGAAAAGCAATATTCTAGCATTGCAAAAGAATACAAGTATGCCATCAGTTCTAAGGGCAAAATGAGACTGCGAAACACTAGATTGCCACAGGGACTTGCAGCAGGGCAGCAGTTGTGACCTCCTGGTGGGAAAAGCACCACAGGGGCCAAATTTGGATTGGTACCACAGTGAAAGGGAAGAATGGGCTTCAGCCTTCGCCCTGGCGCTTTTTAAAAAACAATAATTATAATAATAATTCTTATTATTTATTATTTATTAGATTTTTAAGCTGCTATCCTCACCAAAGTGGGCTCAGAGCAGTGTACAACATCAGAAATTCAATAAAACAGATAGATTAAAAGACAATTCAACTCCAATAACTGAGGCACCCTGATTACCAGCTACTAGCCCAGCAAGGGTAAGGATAAAAGGGGAAGAGGGAAAGGACCAACAGGAAGAGGGAAAGAGTGAGAAGAAAATAAAAAGGGGAGGGGAAGGGAAAGGTAAAAATAAAACCATTGCTGCCCTCTGTGGAGTTTGGTGGTTAATGGGTTAACCTCTGGTATGCCCTGTGCCTGGGAGGGACTTCTACGGGAAGTCACGCAATTCCTTTGTCTGTGTGTTTAGTTTCCTTTTTCTCCGGGAGCGAGAGGAGAAAGACACGATGTGTTCTAGCTCTGATGGAGTTTGCTGCTTTTGCTTGTAAATAAACACTGTAGAATAGAAGTACAGTGTTTGGACTCTCTTTTCCTTCTCCTTCCACACGAAGGCAACCGCTGCTACTCTGCTATTCTGCCTTAGTTTTCCCAGAAGATTGCGCAGAGGGAAAAGCAGTGTTTTGTGCGCAGGGAAACGCACTGGACAGGCAGAAGTTCCAAGACCCTCAACCTTAGGACTGGTGAAACAACTCAGTCTTACAAGCTCTACAGAACAGAGATCTTCTTCTTCTTCTTCTTCGGCGATCACTCGTAAGTGACTGTGGAGGCCAGTTCTGGACCCACATGTCCTTCCATAGTGGGGACATTGGTTCCCAGGCAGGAGTTTATCACGGTGTGGATTTGCCAAGCGTGCCTTCCTCTTAGCACGTT